GCAGCAATTTCTTCTTGTTCACGTTGTTTCTTGGCTTCTCTTTGCCTCTTTTTCTGTTGTCGCCAGATTTTTCTTGTTTCATCTTTTTCGGTTTCGCTTAATTCTCTTATTTTCTTTTGTCCTTTCTTCACTCTTGCAATTTGTTTTTTTCTTAGCTCTTCATATTTTTCTGCATTTAATTTTAATTTATCCCTATAGCGTTGAGCACGCTCAGCAGCTGTTAGAACCATCACTGGAAAAAATAAATACATCACTGGAAATAAAAAAAATACAGTAATAATAAATAATCTGAAACATGAAGCTCCATGGTATAATAAACCACAAGGCGGTAAGCAGAATGTCACACACAAATTGTATACTTTAGATTGGAAGAATCTTAACAGAATATTTTTCCCGCCTTATAGCCGAATGTAGTATAAAATAGCATTATAGAAGTTACATAAAATAACACCAAAGCATTAATTCATCTTAAAAGGTTAAGATTAACTGCATTAAAATTTACATGCGTTTTTTTTTCTAGCAAAATTTTGAAATTACAAGTTTTTCAACATACGGCTGAATTGAACCATATGTAGAACAAAATAGTAACGCCATTTGTTAACCTACATAATAACAAGCTGAAACTCGGTGCATTTAAATGTACTAGTATTGGAGAACCAACATTAAACCCTGAACATCATTTGTCATGAAAGTGCTTATTGAGACAAATCTAAAGAACCCATACACGATGGGTTTACGTGAACCAGAAACGGAGAACTCCTGGTAACCATTTGGAACCAACATCAGTTCAGACATATTAATAACTAATTAGATTTATACACGTATCCCAAACTTCAAATAGTTAAGATCAATTTTTTTTAACCTTAATTTGAAATTGTCATAATTCCAATTTTCTTAAAAATCACCCCACCCCACATTATTTTTTTTAGCCCGAAATTATTTATTCTGAAAGTTTCATCAAAATCGTTTGAGACGTTTTCGATATTTATATAATACCACGTATAAGAATTGCTCGTTTAATACAATAGGATAATATTTATATTTAGTTCCTTAAAAAAAAGAAAAAATATACAATTAAGTACGTGTACTTATGTGGTACACATCACATTTGTCAAAAAAAAATAATTATCAAAGTTGGTTAAATTACATTATGAACTAAGCCTTACGTGTCCATTTCGTCACGAAAATTGTTCCACTAATATGTCACGTGACTAAATGGACGTGACGAATCGTGTTTTGTCCTACAAATTTGCTTAACAACAACATTATTTGCGCTTAAAAAGAACATCACACTGCTTTATTGCATATTCAAATATAGTAAGCTTTAATTAATAATACAATATTTATAAAGTAACTTACCAATTTGACGTAAAATTCGCAACTAAACTGGATATCTTATTTAGCTTCCTGATGAAACGTGTTCGTCGTCACAGATTCTACACAACTGACAGTATACTTATGAAATAAAATGGTTGTTTTCGACTGGTAATATTGCCTGGATGTAAAAATAAAGATGTTTGGGTAGTTTCAAACTTTGGAAGCAGGGTAAGAGCCGTGACTAAAGTGGAATGTCCATGTGTACCCAAATGTTGGTTGACGATATTTCACAAGAATTTGATTCTAAATTAATGTAATTATATATATATTTAGAGTTTAAATTAAAATAGACATTACAAACTTTAAAAATACACCAAAAGAAAGAGCTGACATTGAAATCTACAGGGAAAATTTATTTTCTTAATTTTTACATATTACGTGTGACATACTAAAATTATCATTTTTTTTGCAAACTTTATTTTATATTTAATTAAATCGTATTGTAATTGCTGATTTATATATGTTTTTTTAAAGATAATCAATCCATCTTTTAGCTAAAATAAAGTCTATAAAATATCGGATTAGTCAATTAGTAGTAATAATTTCGAAAGTGTTGTGACCGTGGTTTTTGCATTGGTGCAAATTTGTACGGAATGACTCATAGACGGCATTGTGATAATGATGTGTAATATAATTTAATAAATAAGTATAGGTAGTTATACCTATACACTTAAGTTTTCGTGTAGTAGGTAATGTAGGTAGGTACTTTCTATTGATTTTCTAAAAACTAATTAAAACGAAACATGACGTCAGGTGACCAGAAATAGCCCACAATGAAGTGTAAAACACAGTTCTTTTTTTTCAATCAATTTATTTAGGGTTTAAACCGACAACATTTTATTGGAAACGTTTTAAATCAGTTGTTTTACATCTATAGACTGACCCTAGCAGGGCCCCCTATACACTTACTTCATTTTCTCTTCTATTCGATTTTTTTTTCTTAATCTTGTTTTCTCTTCATTTTCTTTTTACCTTTAGTCCCTAAAAAAGGACATACTGGCACACATCAAAACAATGTTGTGGTATATTTAATAGTGCCATTGTTTCTATCTGTGAATTGCAAAAGAGTGGCCATGAGTTTGTTTGCCCTTTCTTTTAAGGCTCAACCCCTTGGAAACGGGTGGTTGTAGATCGGCACAGGCATATCATAGATTCTGTAGGTATGGGTTTGATTTTTGTTAAATTTATTTGCTTACTATTTGACAAAACAGAGATTGTTGCTTTTGTTAATCTATGACTTTAGAGTCTACATAAGAGACGATTTCAAACAATTTTAATTTTTTTATGAAATAAAGAGAGTTAGTTTGAAGCACGCAAAACCATGTTTTTTACGACAAATCTTTGGAATTCTCCGATTTTCTCTACAATAATAATATATGCATCACATCACATCAACAGCCTTTAATAGTCCACTGCTGGACATAGGCCTCTTCTTAGAAAGAAGGTTTTGAAAAACGCTGGCCAGACGGGTTGGTATAGGCTTTGTGTCAAGTTAGGCGGCGCGCCTGGCCGCCACGGGAGTTTCCCAGGTGGTCGGGCGCATTGAGGCGTTGGGATTACGGGTGGCCCTGGATAAGACGGAGGCCCTATTATTTCATGGGCCCCGTCGTGGTCCACCCGCCGGCGCCTCAATCGAGGTCGGCTCGGTCCTCGTACCGGTCCGGGCCCAGATGAGGTACCTGGGTCTGGTCCTAGACGGTAGGTGGCTCTTCGACGAGCACTTCCGACAGCTTGGTCCGAAGCTGGTGGACACTGCCTCCGCCCTAGGGCGACTTTTGCCCAATTTGGGCGGGGCCAGTGTTCCCACGAGGCGGCTGTACGCGGGGGTTGTCCGGTCCATGGCGCTTTATGGTGCACCGGTGTGGGTGGCGGCTCTGACCGCCCCGAATAGGGCGCGCCTCTGGCGCCCCCAGAGGATATTGGCGGTCAGAGCCATACGCGGATACCGCACGGTGTCCACCGAGGCGGCTTGCGCCTTGGCCGGAACACCCCCGTGGGATTTGGAGGCGGAAGTGCTCGCCGAAGTTTATCGGCGAGTGGCTGACTTCCGGGCGGAGAGCGGATTTCGCCCTCCGCCCGAAGACGTGCGCGAGTGGCGCGAAGCCGCTCGCCGAGCCACCATGGTTAGATGGTCGTTCCGGCTGGAGACTCCACGCGCTGGCTTCGCCGCCGTGGAGGCTCTCCAGCCGGTCATAGCCGAGTGGGCAGGGCGGCAGCACGGGGCCCTTTCCTTCCGGCTGACGCAGGTGCTTTCCGGGCACGGTTGCTTCGGAAAGTACCTGCACTCGGTCGCTAGGAGGGAACTGAGTCCCGCCTGCCACCACTGCGACTGCAGTGAGGACTCGGCCCAGCACACGCTGGCGGTCTGCCCCGCATGGGCGACGCAGCGCCGGGCCCTCACTGCAGTCATCGGAGCAGATCTCTCGCTACCGGCCGTAATTCGCTCCATGGCCGGTAGCGACAGTTGTTTTACCGCGGTCGCAACCTTCTGCGAGGAGGTAATCTCGCAGAAGGAGGCGGCGGAGAAGGCCCGGGAGGACGACCTCCACTCGGACCTGATCCGCCGCCGGCGAACCGGGCGGCGGAGGCGCGCTTACCTGCGCCTCATGCCGCCCTGAGTGTGGCCGCGGGTGGACGGGGTGGGTTTCCCCTCCACCCGCATTAGTTGGCCAGCCGCGAGGGGGCGGCGTCCGCGTGTGCCGGACGTCGCCTAAAGAGAGGATAATTGAAGACGGAGCCCGCACCAGGAGCGGGCCGGCGCTGGGAGGGGTCCAGAAGGCGATAACTACCTGGACCCCTCCTAAACTGGAAGCGCAAAGAGGGCACACCGTGTGGTTTTAGTCGGTTCGAGTCCGACACACCACCCCGCCGCAAACCCCGGTGGGGTGACGGTCCGAGGGGATTTCCACACGTTAAAAAAAAAAAAAAAAAAAAAAAAAAAAAAAAAAAAAAAAAAAAAAGGCTTTGTGTCAAGTTTTCCGTATTTTTGTAGTGCTGGTGTCCTGCGTTGTTTTGCGCCCTTAGTCGGCTCTTACGACACCCATGGGATGAATTGGGGTAGTGACATTCCGTATTCTTAATCCGTCACTACACGAACTATATATGCATGTATTATACATAAAGATCCTCTAGAATCACTCTCTCTATTCGTGAAAGCCGCATTAAAATCCGTTGCTTAGTTTAAAAGATGCAAGCTTACAAAAAAAAATGCGACTTTATTTTATACTATGTAAAGATAACTGTGTTTATCAGCAGTCTTGTTACCGTAATACACACTCAGCCTATTTTGGATTCAGACAGCCATATTGCATGCGTCAATCAGAATTCATTACTGCAATTTTGGTGATGATATTTTATTATAAACAAATAAAAAGCATTCATATTGACTGCACGGACGGCGTAGTGGTTTAAGCGGTCGCCACGCTGCTTCCTACTACGTCGAGTGTTGTGGGTTCAAGCCCCACACGGGATTTGTGTGATCCACAAATTGTTGTTCTGAGTCTGGGTGTTCTTTGTGTTCGTTTCATGTATGTTTGTAAAGTACCCCGCGACACAGGATGTATTCCTAATGCGGGAGTTGTCATTTATAAAAAAAAAACAAAAACTGTAATTATTAGTTTAATTTATATCAGTTGAACTTTCCCATTTTTTATAAGGTCTGCTATTGGTTTGTACTGCAAGATATGTTGTGATCCTTCTGAAAAAAGAAATGAAATGAATACTTGTTACCTGAAAGGCCAACAAAAAGTTATTATACAAATAACTACTTGAGAGCTGCAAAAGATTAATGCAACAATTTAGATTTGTAAAAATGAGAACTTTTGGTCCTTGAAATTAAAACAGTTCTGAATGATATTGATAACTTTAACAGATATTTTTAAGTACTATTTTACATGTTGCAATGTATTCGAACCTCATGTGCAGATGACGCAAGTATTGGGAGCAAGTACCTACTCCCAATACTTGACCTTTTTTATTTTACATTACTTGCCCTGACTGATTATTCATCAAGCAGAGCCTAAGTGCTGGGGCTACAAACTTTTTATTTTGTGAGGTTAAGCATCTTTTCACTTATGAGAAAGGATGGATATTTTACACTGAGGGTCCAACTATTTTCTGAAACACGGCGTAAAACCCTTAGAAACATTAATGGTTTTTTATGGTACATAGGTTGATTAGTAATAGTTATTATAAGTACCATTTTATAGACGTGTTATTAAATTTTGATTTATTTTTGTATGCTGTGCTTATACTATAATATTCTATTCTATTTCACTCCTAAGGTGGTAAAATAAGAGATGAACGCTTGTATGGAAATATGTCGAAAAATAAGAAATAATCATGTGAGCGAAGCCATAGGCTTCGTACAATATAATAGCTAGTTAACTATATTTTTAGTGAATTCAATATCATTTTGCTCCAGCACACAATTACATTTACACACAGCTATAACGAAAAATATAATAGTGACAACACAGTTTTTTTTCTGATACAACTGTACAGCCGTTGAGAAAATCATTTTAGTTTCTGAAAAATTTATATGACAAATTACAAATATTTTCTCATGACTACATTAGTTCTTTATGTAATACAGATGCATTGCAATTAATTATAAACATTTTAATTTCATAATGTAAACAAGACACTAAATATACTGATACATATATCCATAGGCTCTAAAGCATTTGTTAGGTAGATAACATGTATTGTGTATACATACATACCCTCTAAGTCTATTTCTTCATCTTCACCAGCCAAGTCCTCTAACACTATGCCAGTGACTGTTTCATTTGCTTTTAGAAACACATGACTATGCAAGTTGGGATGCTCGGCCATTTTATTCATCTCAAACAATTGCATATTCCCAGGCATTTTACTCAGTACCACTGTCTTCACATGATTCTCCATATTCATTACAAATTCTTGAGCATACTTAAATTCTGTTGGGGTTAAATAATTACTGCCCGTTTCCATTCTTTGCCTTTCTTCATTTAAAATAGGAATACAATATTTTTCTATCTTATTTATTCTAGTTTTAAGATAATTGCATATTATAAATTTTATTCTACTTAATTCCATTTTGTGTATAGAGGCACGAAGATCAATTTTGGGCAACTTGTTGATATTCCGCTCCATGTGTTGTATTTGTCCAAGCATACATTCAACCATATCATTACGATGTGGGAGTATCTCTGGAGCTAAACGTTCATTCTGCCAAGCACTTTGCAGAGTTTTTAACACTACTTCTGCTGTAATTTCTTCTTCATCGTCCTCATCACTTAATGCAATGTTAGTATCTATTAAATCCATTTGATGTTCATTAACAACAAAGATGTTTACGTATGAACAATTAGGGGCGGGTCATCTGCTTAATTGACGTTAACATGAAAGTAAATCAATAATATGCAGTTTTGAAGCGCAAGCGCATTTTATTTATCTATCACTATGAAAGTATAAACTTATTTACTCTAGTAATCTAGTGACAGTTCACCAAAAATGTTGACGTTATGGTTAACCGTCTTGAATCTTGTATGCGGTTAATTACTCAAACGTGTATTTAACTATTTTTTATAAAAATATTTTATAATAATTTTCATTTTCTCGATTTACATATAACTAAAATTACTCATATTTTAAATAATCCACTCCGGGTCGCTCGCGATGCAAAGGTGCTAATATAGCTAGTTGGGTTTCCACGCTGAATGGCCACGGCCAACCTCTGCTCTAGTAACGACTCCGTGCACCTATTTTTTTAGTAGATAGGAATATGAACTAAAATGTCTCGCGCATCTGGATGTTATAATTTTCGAATAATTTGAGAACATGTTGTTGGGGAGTTTCGTGGAAATTTAAAGTATTCGGGCTTTGTTTTAAGTAAGTAAGAGAACGACCCATGTCATTCATGTAGGGATGCCCGTCGTTTTTTAAAAAGTATTTAGATGAATTTTAATTTAAACAGACTCTCTATTTTATAGTCACCTCATCAATTAAAGTAAATTTAAGTAATAATTAATTTTACATTACGTTTAATTTTATTGTTACAATTTATGTATTCCCCCGCCCCGGCTTCGCACTTTTGCAATAAAGATAACTACTATACTACTACTAATGTAGTGTCAGTGTTGAGTAATTAATTATACTATTATTATCATAGGACTATAAACAGACGTACGTTAATGTTATACCTCTAATATCTTTTAAAATGTTCATTTTAATGCTATGCTGTAAAGAGCAATTTTAATCTACATTAAATGCACAACGTATCTAACGTATTGAATTGGATAAGTAATAATAATATATTGCTTAAAATATATATATATATATATATATAGATAAATAACCCATTATTTTTGGAATATTTAAAAGATAAAAAAATGGTTACTGTGGGTTATACTTAGGAGATAGACATATACTATCGCTGACTTTTTGAGATATACAATTCCGTAGTATATGATTTTGGTCTATCTCAAAAGGATTAGCCAGCGTTTGCAATGTAAGTGCGCAAAACCATGTCTGTTCATGTTGGAATTCTCGGATTTCTCTACCATAATATGCATATAAGCAGAGGCGTAGCGTGGACTAATATAGGCGTGGGCGAGGCCCCTTTCTTTGGTTCCTAAGACACAGGTGCCATACATTTATTTTACCAAACATGCTTTGACACAATAAACCTACTCATGATAGTGACAAAAAAAAGCGCGATGGCAGAATATTAAGGTCGTTATCGACGGTGTATGCTTTGACTTAAAGTCAGTAAATGCTGGTGTCACGCGAGGCTGTGAGCTATCACCGTTTCTTCTGTATATCAATGATCTGTATATCAAATATCTCACACTGTTTCTTTTGTATATCAATGATATGTTGCGAACTAGTAGCATCCATTTCTATTCAGATGATACCACCGAAGATGTCTTTTATACCGGCCCTAATATTTCTCGGGAAAACGACATCGACAGAATAAACTTGTGTCTGAAATTGAAACTTCTGAATACTGTTCTCATCTCTATGCAGGGGCACCTCAGTACCAGCTTCTCCCTCTGGACCGTATCCAAAGAAGAGTGACTCGGATCGTCGATAGCCAAAAGATCTCCTATCGGCTCGATCTCTTGGCGTTATGTAGAGATGTAGTTTCGCTCTGCATTCCCTATTGTATATATCATTGAGAGTACTCCGAGGAATTATTCGGACTAATACCGGCCGCCACACCTCAAAATTTTCATCGCCACTTGGATAATTGGAGCTCCACCACTGTGTGCTTTTCAAGACACTTTTTGCCTCGTACTACCAACCTGTGGAACAAGTTCTCGGCTGTGGTATTTCCAGACCGATACGACTTTTAAACCTTCAAGAACAGAGCGTACTCATTCTTTTAAGTCCGGCCACTTGTGACTCCTGAGTTGCAGTCGTTCATGGGCGGTGGTAGTCACTTTCCATCGGGTGACCTGTCTATTTGTTTGCCCCCTCTTCCAAAAAAAAAATGCGATATGTTGCGAAAATAAGTCCGGTGGTAGAGGAGCAAGCATTGTAACTATTTAGGTGTAGTTCTTTAAGGTGAAGAAATCAAGGACATAGAATCTTATTAAAGAGACGTAACTGACGTACTTGTACTGCTGCCAAGTTAAAAATGATTAAAAACTACTTAAGAAACAGTATCAAGTAGATCCAACTGCCTACTTTAGCGATACTTTCCTTCGAAGCTGATTTAGCTGCAAAAATTAATTAGAAGTTTACCAGAGGACTTCAGTAAAGCAAAAATCCCAATAAAATTACTTTGGTAAAACATTAAATCACGCAAGTTACAAAATAAAACCTTTTTTCGAATCCACATGCTTGAGCACATGCAGGAGCTGACAGTTGATTACAGATTCCATTATGCTAGAGAATAAGGGTGTTATGGCTATAGTTCTGTAGTTGGACCGATCAGAGCAGTCACCTTTTTTAGGGATCGGGTGCACAAACTCTATCTGCCAGGAGTTCGGGACGACGCATAGGGAGTAGAAGAATCGAAAAAGGCGCGTCAAAACCGATGCCAACTCTGGAGCACACGTCTTCAAAACGATAGGTCAGATTTCTTCTCTCCCACTTGGCTTATAAATATCGAGGGAAAAGAGTGCTTTACGCACTGATTCATACACTCTGGCACCGCGGTATGGTCGGCGGTGCGTTTCCCCCGTCATCCAAAGTCGAGTTGGATGCAAAGAGTTCGCCTAGCAGATCGGCTTTCTCCTTGACATCATAAGCCAATGAATCATCGCTCATCTGCAGGGGTGGAACGGATTGGTTATAGAAATTCCCCAGGACAGCCTTGGCAAGAGACCAGAATGCACGAGTTCCAGAACTAAGTCTCACCAGTCTCTCACCAATTCATCTGATGTGCTCTGATTTCGATCTGGCAATAGCTCTTTTGAGGGATCTGGAGGCAAAGTTGTATTGCTTTTTTAGCGTGATGGTAGCCCATGCTTGGTAACATTCCTGATTACGTCAAGACGCCGTTTTGCAGGATCTGTTGAACCAAGGCTCGGACCTGCCACCGACGGGAATAAATGTAGATGAAACAAATTGTTCCATGCCCTGAAGCACTACAACAGTGACAGAATCGGCAACGACGTTGGGATCATCCAGCAGGAAACAAACAAGCCTCCATGGGTAGGACGCAAAGAAAGAGCGTATCCTATCCCAGTCTGCTAACCTATAGTGCCGTACGCGGCGGCAGCCGACTCGTGGCCACGACGAGCACGTGAGTATATGGTATAAAGATCGAGACGGCGAAGAATGTTTAAGGGAACTTCCTTACAAGTAGGGTTTCCAGGCGTCGGCTCTAGGACCTTTTCTGTGGAACCTTGAGCATTATGCAGTCCCAAGAACTAGACTTTCCCTAGAAGTAAAGTCGTCTGTTACGCGGTTGAGGACTCGGATCGTACGAGAATATCGCACCATCTTGTCGGAGGTGCATGGTGACTTTTGGTGCCTTTGTATATCCTGGCGGATACGACACAAGGGTCTACAACCAGACACGTACTAGTAGGTACGTTCAGGTTGTAGACACACACAGGCAGGCTGGACTAGCCGTGGACAACTGACGCAGGTTCTCCTCGGGCATAGTTGCTTCGGTGAGTACCTGAATTCGATTGGACATGAGTAGACGGCACAATCCCAGCACTGCGCAGCCAACGAGGCAAGCCAGCGTGCGCAAGAGAAATGCTCTGCGTTAGTGCCTAAGCGGGAGGTCCTAGTAAATCGAATCGGACGAGATTGTCCCCGTCGGCAATAGTAACAAAACCTTGTCGGAACACAACACATAGGTAGTAACTGGGCCAAAAGGTGTGTAAACTTGCGGTCTAACTAGGTCCTATCCTGGGAAATTTCCCGAGATAGGACCTAGTTAGGCTCGGTGTAAATACGGGAGGGACCTGAAATCATGTGGTGCAGGTCCTCCCAGAGTTGAGCACCTGAGGCCGGACGTCGGGCGGGTTTGTCCGGCGGGTTTTTAGAGAAAACACCACATTTTTTCACACGCCAAAATTAAGCCCAGGGTCCCAAAAATAACGATCCGCCCCTGCTCATAGCTATTAAAGCCTGAAAAGTCTCGTTTGCTAGGGGGCAAACGAGACTTTTCAGGCTTTAATAGCTATTCCATGAAAAAAAAAGTAGTATCGATTGTAGAATACCTTTAAAATAAAAATAAAAAGCTATATGTATATAGTTGGACCATATAAAATTGTCATCTATATAAATTGTCATATATAACGAATGCGTTAATGTCTTAAGCAACAAACATCACTTTCAAAAACTGCATATTATTTTACTTATTTTTTATATTTTATTTCTTCTTAGCAAAGAAGATTGGTATGAAATCTTTTTGTTTCCATAAATATATACTTGCCTATTTAAAAAATAAAAACTTCGATTGTTTTGTTTTCATTAAAATAAAAGCCAATAATTTTTGCCCAATTTCATGGGTTTTCGTTGCTTGATAATTTTGGTATTTATCTCACTTTTATCATTTTGATATATCATCATCGTCATCAGCCTTTAATAGTCTACTAGCGGGTTTGTTTCAAGTTTTCCTTCTCCTTTTAGTGCTGTTGTCCTGCGTAGCTTGCTCCCTTAGTGGGCTCTTACGACACCCACAGGATGAATAGGGGTGCTGACACGCTGTATTTTTAATCCGTCACTACAAGGACAGAGCTATACTAGAGATTTTTGAGATATACAGTTTTAAAAAAAAAATTGAGTGGTAAGTCATTCAAAGGACTGAGATGCGTCGAGAAAGTGCACCTTTATAGTGGCTCCACAGTGATTATATGGGC